CCTGGGGACACTGGGGGTGAGGGAAGCTTCCCCCGAGGGGTCAGAGCAGGAACAGATAAATCTCCCTTAAAGACGCCAATGCCTCTCCACAGTTAACCTCTTAATCAACCCCAATCGGCCGAAGGAAATAGCGCTGACTTTCGAAAACTATCTGTGTCTCTGCAGTGAGTAAACACCCTAGCACATTTGCACAGTGTAAATGCCGTGTGTGTGTGTGTGTGTGTGTGTGTGTGTGGAAATGTGGAGTCGTTTACTCCTGCTTGATGAGATTTTAATTACAACATACTTTGCAAAAAAAGGAAATCCCCTGAAGTTGATTATCAGAGTGTCTGGAGGAGATTCAGGTGCTAACATTTAGGTTACGCGCCGCTCACTTATTCCCATGATGTCCTTTTCGTCGACACACACTCAAAGCGACACATTTCTTTGTAAACTACAATATACTTCTTCCTCGTCCATCCATCAGCGAGCCTCTCTAGAGCTGAGCATCAGCGATTAACCTTCTGTGAGCTTGAGAGCATCCAGATAGTATCTGCTCACAGGTCATGCACCGCACGGGCCTCAGACGCAAGACCTCCTAACAAACATGTCATTCTCAGCTTTGAATTTCTATTTCGGTAGCTCGCTCAGGTTACATACCTGGTCGCCTGACGGCTCCTTTCCTAAATGGGATCATATTTAGCGTCGGCTGAAGCGGAGCGTTGCATTGTGGGCTCTGGTGTTGTCAGGCCGTCCATAAATTAACAAGCCAACCGGTGGCCACTGCATTTCCTAGGCCATCCGGTGCAGTCGTGTTTACCACCCTTTGCCCCCACACTGACACCCACTTGTGTCAGAGCTGCATCGCACCAGTTGGTCCAGCCATCCATCACTGAGCATCAAACACGAACTGGCAAACTCTTGTGCGTGTTTGTTTGAGGTGCGCTCTGGTGTGATTGCACAAGGTTTGATATGACAGGACGATTCAGGCTAAATCAGTCACAGAAAAGATGTTCAATACATTTTGTTCTCTGTGTTTGAACTCCCTGGAATAAGTGCTGATTCACAGATGTTTGCTTAGCTTATGATCTTGAATTTGAAAGTGGCTTATGAAACCCACATTAAAATCTTCAAACATACAGTTTTCTGACAAAACACTCAAATGTTTTAACCTATATCTTTAAAAAAAAGCTCACTCTGCCAACTGAAACTGTGTTTGGTCGCTGTGTGTGTTCCTCCTGTCCATACTGGCCAAGAAGAGGATACTGGTCACAATGAGAGCTAAAGGGTTTTGTGTCCCATCACTTCCATGTGGAGTCACATTCATAGGAAATCTGTTCTCGGATCAACTCTTTGAACATATGGGCATGCGAGTGTCATTTTAATATAGACATGAAAAAATATCAACCTATCCTTTAAAGTGACACACCCCTAAAAAAAGTGAAGTACTTTTATTCCAGGTGTGTTAGCCTGCTGGAAAATAAAATCATTAGCAAATCCGTTAAGCATATAGTGAGTTTTATACAAATATTTGCTCTTTTGATTAATATTTTAAAACAGAACATTTCTACTACAGTGTAAAGAATAATATTTCAAAACATGGACAACTTTCTACTGCTCTGGTTGAATGTTTGATATCTGTTCAAGCTTGACTGCACAAATAGTGGGAGGCTAAACATGGTGAAAATACCCAGTAATGTAAAGTAACTAACTATGTTTACTCAAGTACGTTTACTTAAGCACAAATTCAAAGTATTTGTACTTTACTTGAATATTTCCATTGTATGCAATGTTCTACTCCATTGCATTTGTCTGACAGCTTTAGGTACTTTTGAGGTTACAATTACCATTTACAATTTATCTCCAAATGTATTCTTCTGATAATAGGGCAGATGAAGAGTTTCTGTAAGTGTTGAGAAAAATGTTCATACTTCTTGAGCCAAATAAACTATTTGAGAAGCCTCTTGGATCAGCAGTTTTTCTGAGCTCATGAAAAGTTGACTTTTTAGAGAAACGTGATTCTCACAAGAGATGATACAATTGATGATCTTTTAGAATATGATTCGTTGCTGTAGATTAAATTACCCAACTGGATATAAAGTAGTAAAAATCATAAACCTAATGCAGCAGTAATATTAATCCAGAAACATCATATAATAGTAAAACACTGAGAGGAACATTTTACCACACAGAGGCAACTTTTACTTTTGATACTAAGAACATTTAGCTGACAATACTTTCACATGTTTACTTAAATAAAGGATCTGAATTCTTCCTCCACCACCGAAAATAACCAACAATACATTAAAGTTGTACTGCTGTCATTGGATGCGGCTCCAAAGAGCTCTAATACTTAAATAAATGTAATTAAATTGCCTAATTAACAGTTGTTGTGAAATAAAAAAGCTTAATGTCCTATAGAATGAGAGTGACCACATGTCAGCGTGGGTATTGTCTTTATTGGAGGATTAATGCGTGGACATCACATACATTACTAAACCTGTGGTTGATCCTCATTTAATTAACCTCCTTCTGGTCAAATTCATCATAAGCCTCAGCTGTATAGAATTACACTCTAATTATTAGACCCCCAAACCCTGAGGTGCCCTTGATCACTGGCCTACAGCTCGTGGAATCTCCTAATAGCGAGTCGCAGGGCTAATTGGGAGACAGGTAAGGTTACATGTGACAGCAATTAAGCCGAGCGCAGGGCCAACCTCATGGCCTCGGGCGAGCCCGGCGCTGCACTCAGGACCTCTGAGTGAGCTTTTTGTCTTTTTAGCGCTCTCTTTTTTCTTTTTCGCAAAGTTGGGAATAACAGTTCTCCTATTTTTCTCTGTGGACAGACAGGATTATGGATGTAAATTCCTCCTGCTCCTCTTGTTGCGCTCTGGTCACATAAATACAAGCCGACAAATGACTTGTTTATCAGCTGTTTCACTTTAATTTACTTATATACGTGTTATAAATATTAAACGTGTGGGTGTGGTTTAATGGCAAAAAATACAACGTGCTGGGTAACATAGATGGATAGATAGATTTCTGTGACGATTTATTTGGCAGGTTTATTGAAATAACTTACTTAATTGTATTAATGATAATTACATTTAGGGCCTATATATATATATATATATATATATATCGATCGTATTATGCTCCTTAAGTTAGATCGCGATTTGCATAACATGGTGCACCTTGTCTGTGATTTTAGTAAGGGTTAAGGTTGGCGGAGTGATACGAAGCTGAGGTGATGAGCGCTTGTTGTTAGTGTTAACTTGTCCGGCTGTGCAGATGAACTTTAAAGTGGTCCTGAAGTTCTCGTGGAGACGCTGTCCTCGTGATCTTGCTTCACCCACGTCCCGAACGTAGTTTTATCTCGGTAACAAGTGTATCGTGAATGTTACAACAGACATAAACAGATGGATAGATATCTATTATAGATTCATGTCGTCGGGAGGGGAAGTGTGAGAGCGTGTGTAAACACATTATCACTTTCCAGTCCTCGGAACACATGCAGCAAAGAGGGCGGTGGGACACTCGACCCCCCTGACAGCGGTGTGGTCGGAATTACCTTTCACGTGACAAATCAAGACCCAATCTGGGGAAATAATCAGGTCCCCGCTGCTCTCGGCGTGGAAAAAGCCCCCATTAGAGAACACTGCCTCTGTTAATTACTGCACTGGCCTTTTGTGCGCATGGCAGGGACACAACACACCGACAGAATCAACACTTTCTCGACTGGTAAACGATTTGGGGAAGTGTTTTATGGCTCGGGGAGAAGTTTGGCACGTTTTGTAGTTGTTGTGGAGCTGAGAGGGGACTTGTCGGTTTATTATTCTACACGATTGCTCGTCTGTGGCCAGTTTGAGCTACAATATTTAAAAGTCGGGGTAGGGGTTAAATAAGATTGTGTTGATGATGCGACATCAGTGGGATTACATGAGCTGGACAGCTGACCCGAGATTGATGACAAGGCAGTGCGGCGTGGTAGATAAAACGGCTGGTAAACTGTGACCTTCTGTCGTGGATCAGAGGGCAAAACAATAAACAACATGGCATTATATTTTCAGAAAATAATACATCATGTCATGAAATAATAAATACCTGAGAACCAGACTCTCGGGGCCTGCACACATCATTTCGTATATATAGAGACATGTTTTGAAACATACAGCAAGAAAACTTTGAATAATGTTTTTTTATAAAGTCAGCAACTTGGAAAAAAAGTTCAACTGCTTCGTTTGAAACGTCTTCTTCCTCACTGACAAACCCAGTAGCTGTATGAAAATGCAAATACTGATAATTTCAAAAGTTTAATTCATACCTAGCAAAATCATCCTAGAGGAAGGGGGGGGGGGGAGAGATTTTTCATATCTACATATTGGCAGTTCGCCTCCACACTATAGTCATCATGCTGACTAAGCATGCTCACGCGTCTTAAAGTGAGATTTAAGGCGAGAAGAGAGAAACATCCCCTCTTCAGCAGATGAATGTAAAAAAAACCACCTTCCAGTCTTCATCATTTTGCAAAGTCAAACATACAAATGAAGCAACAAAAAGCAAAATACATTGTTAATGCGGAGAGGAAAATCCTTATTAGGATAATTTAAAATATGTGAAGTCAGTCTAAAATATAAAATATTGATGCAGCACTAATATTTAAAAAGTTTTTTTCTAATTACATACTAACAGCAGGTTTTGTACCAGGTCTGGACGCACAACATGCACATTTTATCCTCAATGGGACACTGATGCAGCCACTTTAAAGTACTTGTACCACAACAACCGCTCCTGTCAGTCACCCCAATCCCTCACCGACCGCCGTCCAATCAGAAAGCGCTTTATTTTTTTAACAGACTTTGGGGGCCAATCAGGGCCGGCCCTGTATGTCTCTCCCTCTCCCGCTGAGGGGAGGGGAAATGACCTTATTTGGCCGTTATGACCTTATATGGGTCGCCGCCAGGGGGCCAGCAGTACGAGGCAGCCTGCTGGTGACACTTTCCCCCAAATTGTAGCTTTGCCTCTCGGAGATGGGGCGGACAGTTGAAGGGTGAAGCGATACACTCGAGCGGCAAAACGATTGTCGTGCGCGTTAACAGTCTCCGTTGAAGCTTCTGCTGCACGCGGACGATCACCGAGGATATTTAGAGTGCGCGTGTTGGGTAAATTAGGATCAGAACCTCACTGCGGCGCGCAAGGAACCAGAGGAACGGGGATTGCTTCGGGTCCTGCGCTTTACAACGTCTCCAAGAGCTTGCCGGGACTAAATAAATCCGTCACAGGACAACATGAAATGCGGTCATTCAGGAGGCAGAATTTATCTCGCGCGAACCCAAACGCGGTAGGCTATTGAGCGGCGGAGAGACTGGAGCGAGCGGCTGAGAGGCGAAACATTGCTGTCTGTTGTATTCCGTCGTCTTTTCAAATTCTAGAGAAGAAGAAGTAAGATAGCGTATTATTATATTTTACAGCTGACTTAACCGGACTGACTTTTCCAAGAGGTTACACTCTGAAGAACAACGTGTTTATGGATTGCTGCGCACCGAGGGACACCGGGAGTTGTAGGCTTCGCTCTTTTGCATCGATCATGTTGATACCTCGCTGTTGCTGTGAACTTTGGTAGATGTTTGCAGAAAGACCATATATAGATACACGTTTTGAATACAAACACGCTCATAAACGCGCAGATTGACCTCTGCAGAGGAAGTGGGAAGCGCCTTTTCGCCCCCCCCCCCCCCCCCCCCTCGTTTTTCTCTCCCAAGACGTCGGGACGGATCTCTATCACTCAGTCGCTCCTTCTGTGATTTTAACAAAGACCAAAGTGTCTGGGGATAGCATGGCAATGGTAGTAAACCAGTGGCCAGAGAACATTTCTGCAGATCCGGGGTCCCAGCTCCAGATATGCGGCCAGGAGCCCGGCGGGGCGCCGGGAACCCCCAACGGTTCCACCCCGGGGAATGACACACTTTCCGGGGACAAGATCCCCAACGTGGACTGCATGGTGTGCGGGGACAAGTCCAGTGGGAAGCATTACGGCCAGTTCACCTGCGAGGGATGCAAAAGCTTCTTTAAGCGCTCGGTGAGGCGGAACCTCTCGTACACCTGCCGGGGGAACCGAGACTGTCCCATCGACCAGCATCACCGGAACCAGTGCCAGTACTGCCGGCTGAAGAAGTGCCTCAAAGTCGGCATGAGAAGAGAGGGTAAGACCATAGGTGTGTGACGGAAGTTCGCGTAAAGTTGTGGCTCATTTTGTTTACTAATCGTGTTTCTCTGTGTGTGTGAGTGACCTAATGTTGCTCAGTGTAAAATATCAATCTTAACAGGCCATTAAAGTGTGGAACTCAGCCGTAAAATATTTTACTGTCTCAAAATAAGCGACTAACTCTGAGGCTCTTCTCCCCGCCGCTGTTTGCATCAACGTCTAAAAGCGGAGATAATTACACGTGCAGCAAGAAAACATTTGAGAAATGTGTAAAGACAAACTTTTATTACACATTTAAAACTAAACACTTGTAGTTTTCTTTTGTTGGTCACTCTCATGTCCAACTGAATACGCGCCAGAGTGGGAATTTGTGCGTAAAATACGCGTCACGTTCTGTGATGCCTGTTGATCCTAACGTGTCACACAGTTTGTATCCACTGTTGCTATTATGGGTAAATAATCAGCCACCACCTGCGGCAAAAACACAATGCTTACTTCACATTCTTTGACCAAATCCAGCGCCATTCACGCTGGTGCGCTCTGCTCTGTGAAATCCCTCCTTTGTCCGCTCTGTTTTAATTATGCTGTTTGCTCACCGACACCCAGAGCCGATAGAAGAGGATGCCGCTACATTTGTTGTATTGTGTTGGATTAACAACGGGTCAGTTAGTTGCAAAGGGGAGCGGTGGCAACGTGTCGGCGGAGAGGAGCGCTTATTGATTAACATTCAGCAGCGTCGTCCCATTCACGAGAGAGGAGATGGTGCATATTTTTAAAATAATGTTCCAAACCGAATGGAGCCAAAACATCTGTGCTGGCAGCGTTACTGATGGTTTTTGTTTGGTAATGCACTTTGGATTAGAGAAGCTCATGATTTAGAGGCGACCTATTTTATGATTAAAAGGTACAGATTTGTTAGAATTTGTTTCGGTAATGAATGAAAATGCCAAAATCAACGTACACACTGCATATCACCTGAACGCATCCTAAAAAGTCCGAGTCCTTATTGAAGATGTCCCTCTTTGCCCCGTTTATTTTGTCTCTCAGAGGACAGAATGGGGTCAGCAGCAGCATCCCACTGAGCAATCTTGCTCAAGGATACTTCGGCAGCGGATGATTTAAAGGCAGACAGTGTCTGAACGACCCCTCCGCCCTTTGTTCTCTGTCTGAGTCAAAATGTAAATACAGTATATAGGTAGAAGGTGGAAATACCCGTTCTCCTTGGATGAGACGATCCCTTAAGAGGTTCCCGCTCGTGCTGCTGGGCCTCTCTATGAGTGTGTGTGTGTGTGTGTGTGTGTGTGTGTGTGTGTACTGTACACACAGTCATACCTTATGTAAGATGCCCGCGAGCATCTTGGTTGGTGCTTCTTTACGAATGAATGAACCCGAGGAAATCGCCTGACGTCGCATCGTGTATAATGCAAAAATATCAGAATCCGTCTCGTGACGAGACTTCAAATACAAGTTAAATAACGTTCACACAAGCGAAACATATCATTTTAAAATGATCTTATTTATCCTATTTTGGAGATGACCGTTATTTTGCATGCAGAATATATATATGTTTTACTTCCTCTGGCAAATCTTTTAATAAGTGTTTCAAGTTTAATTGTTAACACAAATTTCTTAAATTTGTATTACAGTTTGTTTCGCGGTGTCGACCTTTGAGCCTTGAAGGCGTCATATTGTCCATGAGCCACGAGATTTCTTATACACCTTAAGAATGGCATTAGTCTCGCTGCTCAGATGAGAAAACATTACGATGCTTTGCTGAGCAGCTGCAGACTAGTCAAAAAGTTTAATCATTTAGCGTCTTAAACTTTCTTTATTTTCAGTTGGCAGGACATATTTCTTTCAATTCAGTTTGTGATAATTCAACAATTAAAAAAAAAAAGATAAAGGTGAAGGAAATTCTTCAATTCAAAAGAATGTTTTTTTATTTAGAAATAATAAGGTTTTAAAACTCATCTGCTCATTAGCTTCTTTGTTTGCAGCGCTGGCTTGTGCGTTAAAGGCTTAAATGTAGAGCAGGTCAGCTTACATTGGCGGAGCTCATCTGTTGGTGCATTCGAGGTCAGCAGGATTAAACTGTGTCCTTAAATCCTCTTTGTTGGCTGACTTCTGTTCATCAGCATTCATTTGTCTATTTAGGACATTTTTTGTTAAGACACGAGAACTGTCCGGCAATTTGGGAAAAGTAGAGAATCCCCAAACAGAATTTAACGACACAAATGGTTATTGTGTTAAATGTGAGGCTGAGAAAGGTATGATCATAATTCATTCGAAATATTGTGCATGAATTACAGACATCCAATTCTCCTTTAGTTATCAAATCAAGACTCCCTTTGTTTTAATGAAGTAAAAGTCATTTGTGTATATAGATATTCATGAATATTTGAAACAAAATCGTCATTATTTTATCTTAACATCTAAAGTGAATTAAACACTGCTGCTTCATAAAATCCCAACTGAAACTGTTGAAGCGCACGGCCCCGTCGTCCTCCCCTGAGGACACGAGACATGTTTTCTCTACATTATGCAACAGGTTCACCTAAGGTCGTGGAGGGGAGGCAGTGTTTATTCTCAGTGATGATCCAGGTGAAAAAAAAGGCATTCCGATAATTCTCTTTGACATTTCCAACAATATGCGGAAGCCGCCGAAAAGATACTGTCAGAATAAAGCAGAAGGCCACAAGTGGAAATGCATGTTTGTTGTGCTAAGAGAGTTTGGCATGTTATGAATCATTTAAAATCTCTTTTTTTGCTTACTTTGAAATGTACTCGGAGCATATTGTCCATAATGTGCTTCACGTCCCGACTAAGTACAACACGTCTGAGATGAAGTGCTGCTGGATGGAACAAGTGATGTGAATGTGTTGCTATATGACGTGTGATAGCAGAGTCCTGTTGGTGATATTACTCCACCTTTACAGCACCGTTTGATGTCACTAACACTGCTGCATGACTTTTCTGTTTAGGTTGAATGAATATTTAGCTTCCTGAGAAGACACGCTAAAAGTTTCATGAGTGGACCGCTTCAGATTTAGAGACAACTTCACTGAGTTTCATATTCTGTTTTTTTCCCCCCTAAAGGAAGATGTTTGACCTCTTTCTGCAGTCTTGCTGTGTAGAACATAATATCATTTGTTGGAGACTTTTTATCCAGAGCTCTTTTCAGTACCACGCCTCAGTGGGAATCAAACCTCGAAAAAAAAAAACCAACCTTGGCAGCGTTAGTGTCATTGTCTCCCCACGCAGCTACACAGAACCTCGTCTGTGTCTCCATCAGCACGGTTTCTAGGTTGAATAGGAAGCGGAGAAGAAAAGAGAATCAGCCTGACAGTTTGCTTTTGAACTGGAGTGAATGTTTTAATTTTGAAGCAGCCCACAAGGACGAGCAGCTGAGGACAGAGAGACACGTGTGTGGTGGTCTACTGCTCTGATTAATGCACGCGTACACAATGAGAATGTCATCTTGCCTTGAATCATACACCTGGGCGGCTGTGAGCACACTAAATACATGCAGACACGCCAACTTAGTGGAGTGCAGTGATAGTAAATAGTCTCAACATCCATTTGGATCACAGGAATCTGTAATACCCACATTCAACGTGCGCAGTGGGAATGCTGCTGCCTCCTCTCACCCACACTGCACTCTGACAAAATACCGACAGCGGCTGAAAATGTAGGTCAACCAAAACTAAAACATTAATAACAGACGGGCTCAAGTCAAAGTCCAAATGTGTGAAGCGTCCGGGGCCTCTCTCCAGTAAGTAAACAGTGACTAATCCAGTCATTCCCAAAGACTGGGTCGGGACCCCACAGGTGGGTCGCAGGAGATTTCATTAGGGTCGTCAAATATATTAGCAGAATTTCTTCCATATTTAACATTTGTATAACATTTGAGACCACATTAGAGAGCCTGAATGTTCCGAATTCTGCTGTTCAGGAAGGGTTCACATGTTGTGTCTGAAAACGCGTGGAAGACGGCAGTCGTGTGGCTTTCAAAAAGTTCCAAAAGTTTAACTATTTATATCTCGGGGTGCAGCTGTGGCGTCCTGAAAAATAAGCGTATGGGAACATTCAAGGTGATGCAGAAATGGCAGTAAAAATGCTCAGAAACGTTAATTTATGCACAAATTTGCTCTTATCATAATTTATACATACGGCCTATTGGGAATTTGGTTTCTCATTGTTAAAAAGTGGCTCCCCAGAACACCAAAATACTGCAGTCTGGCCTCCTTTGGCTCCGAAAACCTTTACTTATAATTTAGCGATTGACAAATTTAAATACTTAACCCCTGTCACCACACTTGTAGTCATTATCAGAGGCCTCAAAGAAGTAAATTGCTCCCATTCACAAATCTTTCAGTACTGCCCAGCTTCCATTAAAGTAATACACAGCAGCCCCTGGTGTTATTATCTCCAAGGCTACCTTTAATATTACAGAATACATGATTGATGATGTTTTTTTTAATGCTTTTGGACACATCAAGGTGACGAGTGTCCTCTCTAAAACGGTTATGCTTCCTTCTGCACATTCCAACGCATCACTAATGTGACAAAAGTCATGTGACCCTCTCAGGTGCATTCAGTCAATCAACTCTAACAAACAGACTGACTCCGGACTGTTTTGCTTTGAGTCTTTAAGTGGCTCAACCTGTTTTTGTGTGTCACTTGGGTCTCTTGTAATAACATACACACACACACACACACACACACACACACACACACACACACACACA